ATGCATATAGTTCGTCCGAGACATATATTTTTCAAAAATGGTATTTACAGACTGCTATCACGCTGGCAAGAGGTCATAAACAACGACGGAAATGATATCGTACAATAAATATTATTAAATGTACGAGAAATGTATTATTTTCTTTCGCTTCACGAACGAGCAGAGCATTTCTAATATTAATGAAGAGAACATTGTCCTTGAGTTAACTTTTGGTGAAAGTAAACTGCGTTCTTTACTAAAAATGATGTTGACAACAATTTAGTACTCCTTTCGAAAGTACATTGGTTCCTTATACACCAATAGACTTTATGCGTTTACGATGAAAGAACGTCAAACGAATTTAATAATAATACTGCCACGTTATTCTCAACTCGTTAAAATTAACGAGAAAAATTTCTCGCAACTGATGAGGAACTTATCTTATATAACGATGCGCAGTTTACTAAATGGGATTACTTGTCTTCGTCAAGACGCGGACATTGTACTTACAGCGAGATGCAATTATCATGAGAACGGCGAAACAAAGTCAAATAGTTAGAGAGCGTGTAGAACAATTTTCTGGGGACTACGAAGATATTACGATCCGAATTTAAAATAGTCGAGGGTCTACCTTTAACACGTTCCGTGCCACGTGTACCATCGATGGTACACGCTTGCATGTTTACTTAGTGAACTGAACAAATTGTTTACAAGAAATTTAGAACCGAAGAATCAATTTCCACCGCAAGAATGGGCGTTGATAAGTTTTTGTTACGTTGTTATGTGTACGAGAATTAATAATTGCACGTAATACATCAAGTTTTAGTAAAATATCAAAGTGTGAAGATTCGAGTAAAAAAGCTCGGCACGGAACGTGTTAAGAGCCTCTCGTAAATTTCGCGAGCGGTAGCAGCCATAATCTTGAATGCCCCGGAAATGTTGATGTAATTAACGCGTTAGGCTTTTTATTATCCCTGCGAAAGAAAAGTATCTCTCTGCGCCCCGCCGTCCAAGAAACGAACGGACGTGCTCCTTCTTCCTTTCACCGGATTCCTCGCTAATGCGTTCCACTAAGTTCGGATAGCACGCGAAACAAGAGCCCGGCTGCGTTGCACAATAAATTATTAAATTTTATGCGTGCAGAGTTTGCGCGGGAACGCGGAACATCGAGATCTTCATTCCGGAGTTTGCGGATCACGGCGAATTACGGCGGGGAAACTTTGTCGTGAAAAACCTTCCGCGGGTATATCGAAATCCCCGTTTTTCCCGTGCCGCGGAAGTTCAGCGGGATTTAGTGCGCATAGTTCCCTGTTTGCACGGGGGCACAAAGGTGAAACATATGCGTCGTTGTTATTACACGTCGCGCACGGAGCCCGGATTAACTGTGCATTTTCGAATTAAAGTTTCGCATATTATTCCGCGTTGTATCACCGGGCCAGATAACAGAACGGAAGGAACGCGAGTCGCTTATCGGGCACACGGGTTCCAACTTTCTAGTTCGATTAATCATACTTTGTCTCGCGAGCTCGAACAATGCGCTGCAATAGAATAGCGTCGTTGCAAAAATTCTAGGATAATATCTGCAGCGAAATCATCGAGGACCGCAATTTCGTTTCCGATGCGTATGGCCGTTCTGGCCGATTCATTGGTGCTTTTTAATTGACATAAAGGTTCTAGTTTGAACTCTTCGGCGTGCGTCTTTACATTAGAAGCGCATCGAAGTAAGGCGAACTTCCAATATACGACGAAGCAGACTATAATTAGCTTAAGACAAGAGAGAAATATCTTCGAAGTTACTTACTTTGAATAAAAATTGCTGAAGGCATACAGAAACATGTTAATTAACATGAAAAATTTAAATGTCGATCGCACAGAAAGGAGACAATATTTTTAAGTCGATGCAAGGCGATGGAATGATCGATTTAAAAAACAGTGAGAAGTTTACAACGACAGTTATTTCTGCTCCGTAACGAAGAATAGTGAATGTGTACTTAATGTTACATTTAATAAGATGCTACACAATTTCTGTTACAAATAACTGCGCACAAAAACATTGGCACAGTCTCTGGGGAGATCGGAATTAATGGCCCAAGGGCGATTCTACCCGATGCACACGCGGGTATACAGGGTGTCCCAAAAATGTCTCACAATTCGAAAGTGGCGGGATCCTCAGGTCATTTGAAGCAACTTTTTCCTTTACAAAAATTTTCTCCGAGGCACCATTAATGAGTTATTAACGAAAAACAGTGATCAATGAGAGGCGAGCTCAGCTGACGCGAGGCGACCGAGTCAATCAGCGGAACTGGGATTCGACTGCTCGACCACTGGCGCCGTTAGCTCGGCTGCCTCGCGGCAGCTGAGCTGGGATTCGACCGCTCGACCGCTGGCGCTGTTGGCTCGGCCGCCTAGCGCCAGCTGAGCTCGCCTTTCATTGGTCACTGTTTTTCGTTAATAACTCGTTAGCCATGCCTCGGAGAAAATTTTTGTAAAGGAAGAAGCTGCTTCAAATGATCCGAGGAACCCGCCATTTCCGGATTACGAGACACATTTGGGACACCCTGTAGATTCTAGAATACTGTTCAATGAGAAACCAAATCATGGCTCTTTTATATCGTTAAAATCAGTCCAAATACGATAGCGGAGGTATACGTACGTGGTCTGGATATTTAGTTTCCCGGAATTGTGTTATAACCAGTCGCAGTGGTTCGAAAAAGGCCGACTGTTTACCCTAACGAAAGGCCCTTTGTACTCTCACGTGGCTCGTCGGAACGTTAATGGTCGCGAAGGAGAGATCGAAAGAAGTCGCCGAAAACGTACGAAAAGTCTCCGTACGTAACAGTACTATGAACGGCTGCGAGCATCTTCCGAGGGTTAATAGAAAATGGAGATAAGATCAAGATTGTAACAGGAGGTCGGCGAGGAAAGAGATCTGGAACAAGTTTCAAGAAATTTTCGCAAAGAGCGCACACCCTGAAGAGAACTCCGAGATGGTACATAAGGCGGGGCGCAGCGCACCGAAGGCTGAAGCTACGGATCATTTATTTAGAAATCCGTCTCGGTGCTGACGACAGTAACTCCGCTTTTACCTCCGTCGGACTCGCGAGCGTAAGTCGACCCTTATGAACCCTGTTAAAGAGACACTCGCGAGGAACGTCAAGTGGAACAGGCGCAGGATAAACAGAACGTTTGTACTAGCCGAGTGTGTACCATTGCACGTTCGGACGTTGCTCCGCACACTTCACTTTGACCCGATACCGTTGGAGGTGTCCCGGGAAGCTTCTGTATACATGAATAAAAATTGGCCCGTTGTCGGTTAAGAGAGTACTCTTAATAATTGAAAACACGGGCCGCCGTTCGATTCGAAGTCTTGGCATGCGACGAGAACCCGTCCACAGTGTTCGGATCGATGCTGCTTCATAAAACTGCAGTGAGAAACTATCTCGAACCGATGGAAACATTTCTTCTTCCGCTAGGCTACTACCGGACCCACCCTATGCACGGGGTGTCCCGTTCGCAGTTTTGCACGCAATTAGGTTAGATGCGCCCTCGTTTTGTTTTCGGACATAATTTATATTTAACCAGTTAGCCGCGGCGCCCCCATTTCAGAGCGCGCACTTATATGTGTCGCGAGAATCAAGCGACGACGAGTATACTCGTCAAACACAATGTAAGTGTCGCAGTTAAAATATTGGATCAAAAAGACGGTTATATTTGATAAAATTAACAATTTTATTACTAATATTTACTTATTCACACGACGTTAACATATACCGTATACATAATAAACGAAAAACCCAGGGATAATCGAATACTTATAAAAGTTAAAAATTTAAATTGCTGCTGCAAAGAGAGTGGTATTTACCAAAGCAAGGAACAACATATAATGGCACTTTGCATGTCGAACACCAATACCGTGATTCTTTTCTAATTTTATTTTTATAACAATGTAAACAACTTCGTGCAGGATTGGCCTCAAAATATTCTGAACATCTTGAAATTTGAGAATATATTTTTATTTTCCTTAAAATTACAATTTAAATAGCCAATGTTCGCTACTTCTTACGCACGACGAGTATACTCGTCGTGTCACAAAATATTGCCATTTCTCCATGACGAGTATACTCGTCAAACACAGCTAACTGGTTAAATTACATTATATGTAAATTGATATTTCTCAAATATGACGTATTCAATTTTGATTTCTTTCAACTAGCGTAATTTCGAATATAAATTGATAAATCTACGGTTTATACCCGAAAACAAACCAGTCACAGCAATTAGTCACCCCACAGTAACCGGCTGCACTAGCCTGTCATCTCGATCGTAAAGTTGGTCCGTGTATATTGTATTTCAAACGATCAAAATTATCGCATTTGTCCCTAAATGATAATTCTGCCCTGATCTTTTCCATAATGATATCCGGACACAACATCTGTAGACTCGTTCTTGCAGAACATTCCCGATAACATTGACATCACAAGCACGTGTCAGCTAAATGGACGTGGAATGCCATCTAGGGATACACTAAATCATTGTATTGACGTCCAATGAGCTCGAAGGAATCGGTACTTCGAGTGGAACACCTTGGGCACAATGGCCTCTATGATTGAAGCACTTAATAACAAGAGGGACGTAAGCCCGAGACTCTGATTAGAATCCCACAGGTATCCATCGGGACAGGATCTTCCTAGCCGCGTTTTACCGGCTCCTTTCGATTAGCGGTTTCCGGGCGAGGCACAAAGAGAGAAATCACCGACGCGGTACCAGGAGGATGGGAATTTTTCTCTCCTACCTGGCATCGACGTTCGTTCAATGGCCGGTGGACGTCGAGGTGTAGCCTCGGAAGCTTATCTCCCCGGCCTGTCGGCCAGACCCGACTTCCCGCTGGCGAATGAAAGGGAAGGTCCCCGGCGAAAGTCGTCGATTCGTCCTGGCTCGATTCGTGTCCCGTCTTCCCGACTTCCTCCGACCGTGTTGTTCCCGTTGCTCGACTCAAAGCGGCTCCGCGATCTTTGTTGCAGATAATCAACTACGAATCGGCCAGAGGCGGCGTGTCCGTAGTCACGGAGAAGGGTGACAGCACCACAAGTTTCCTGCTTGTACAGGACGCGAAGCCGTCGGACTCGGGACAGTACACTTGTAATCCTAGTAATGCTCAACCTAAATCGATCACCGTGCACGTACTCAATGGTGAGTGGTTTCTACTTAATTGCGAGCGTTTCTTTGTCGGGTATCGTGGCCGGTTATCGAATCGTAATCACCGGAGTTTTTTTTCCCCCACTCATTGTCGACTCCCGAGGATCAGAGGAAAAGAATGAGCTTGGCTGTCCCAACGACAGGGAACATTTTATCAAACGGATTAATATCGAAAGAACGAGACTCCGTCTACGGTGCTTGTTTCAAATTGATGGAGGACGGTTGACTGCGAAAGGATTGAGATCGTTCGCTACGTTCCATTAATTTGTCCGAGGCTTTTCTGTTACGGGAGAGTGCAGTTTTCTTTCTTTGACGGTCTCGCAAAGTGGTCCACGCACGCGAGGTGCAGAAGTGGACAATTTGAGAAGCGTTTTTATAGTTGCTGACAATCGGTAATTATAAAAATGAGGAAATAATCGTATCTCCTATACCTAAATCGTCCGTTTTTGCATACACAAAACGCTCAGATTTTCCACAAAAGTGGACAATTTGGGAAGAGGAGATACGATTATTCGAGCCTTGCGGTTCGTTTTTATAGTTACGAATTGTCGACAACTATAAAAACGAGAAGCAAAACACGAATAATCGTATTTCCTCTCCCCGAATTGTCCATTTTTGTGCACGATCTGAGCGCCAGTTAGGGAGACATTACTCTAATGCGAGCGTCAATTAGGGAGAATTTACTGTACATAGAGAGTAACGTAACGTTCGTCGTTGATGCATCTTCTTGGTACTCTAATGAAATTGACTATGGCTTTGTACGATTCACAAGGATGCTAATTTGTTCTTTCAATAACTCAGCTATTTAAGATCAGATTCAGTTACGCCAGGTATAATTCAGATCATTTCCTCGATAAGCTGCAGCGAGCAGTGTCCCTAATACACATTCAAGAATACTTCATTGCTTTTACCATATGCAATTCTCCTCGATTCTTTGCCTCTATTTTGATCCAGTGGAGTATGAAAAAGCCTAGAATGCGGTAGCATTGAACGAGCAAATGATTATAAATAGACCGTAGGAAAAAAGTATCCATGCTTTCGTACAGATAAAACTGAAGACCAACGATGAACAGTGCGACTAGTTAAATAATACACCGTGGTGTTCATTTCTTGCTTCGTTTACTTCTTCGGACGACGATTATCGTGATATTAAATATTTCTAAACGGTACCGCGCAGGGTGATTACGATACGATCACAATGTGATATAAATCTGATAACAAACGATCGTAATTTTTACCGAGTTTAGAAATTTACTCGAATTGTACTCTATCGGAGAAGATTGAATTTTGTTAGACTGAAAAGTGCAGAACAGTTAAGGGAATAATTTCTACGAGATACATTTGATCTCTACAGTTTTTGGCTTCGTTAAATAAACTATCTCGATTTTGTTGAATGTTCTAGAACAACGCTCCGATCACTTCGCCTCTTCAATTCTCGTTTCATCGACTAAGTTACCAATTTTGATGGATTATCCGGGAGCTCTCTAATTTGTCACGTTCTAAGATTACTCGCGAGAATCGTACGTCTCACATGTGACGTGTGTAATAACACACGTCACCATGGACGAAGGGTCGCCGAAGGGTGGAGCACACCGTCGTGGCCGGCAGCGTTGTCTTCAGAAAATTTAAGTGTTGTCCTCTGTTTCAGGAGAGTATCCCGCGGCAATGCAGCACGGCGGTCAAGCCAAACAACCGAGGCTCTACTCCCTTCTACTCTGTCTATGTTTGCTGCTCTACTAACTGTATCATCCCCCGGATTGCCGATCCCCCGAGCTCCCCGACGACGGTAAACAACGCGGCCGTGTACCGTGAGATTTGCCGTTCGAGGGACACCGGCGAGGTGCGCCGAAGAAAGTACGCCACGGGTTCCCGGCTGCGGAAATCACGGCTGTGTGCGGTGGTGCAGTGAGACACGATAGAACCGGCGGTGCATATGTGTATCGGGTGTTCGCGTGGACAAGAAACGAAAACGGTAAAAAACGCGCGAGAACGACAAACGCCGACGAAACGTAGCGAAACCAAACCAAACCAAACCAAACCAAACCAAACCAAATCAAACGAAACGATACGAAACAAAGCTAAAGACGGAAAGATAGAAAACAACAGAGTGCATTGTTCCTCGCGACGGTCGACGAGCCGTCGTCATTGAGCGAAATTGGCGCGGCGAGCTGGATAGCCGAACGCAAGAAAGGAACCGCGAGCGGAGGCTGCATCGCTAAACAGACTGACAAAGTGACTGATCGTAATCGTGCTGGCGACGAAATCGGATCGGATCAGGCGAGGCGAGGCGTGACGTTGTTTGGCGTGGCGTAGCTTGGCGTGGCGTAGTTTGGCCTGGCGTAGTTTGGCGCGGCTTGGCGCGGCTTGGCGTGGCAACGTAACGCGGACGTAATCCAACCGTGTGTAGTCGGGGTCGCGAAACGATTAAACCTGAACCGGTCGCAGGACAAACGGAAATTGAGATGGCGAAAGACGGGGAACGAGGGAAACGACACGAGCCCTCGGAGGTACAGCGGAACAAGCAACGAGACAAAGGCGAGGATCAGAGTACAAAGGATCGCCTTTCCTCCGCAATTATTCAACCGTGCCGACGGGTTGTGTGCGGAACGAGAGAGACCGGGTGTGCGCAGAGGAAAACCGGAACACCGATCGACAGCCGGATCCGTTTTCCATAGCGTGCCGCAGATCATACGTCATACGAAACGGCGGATCGTTGCCGCGCAACCGTAATTTCGATCGTATCGCCTCGATCCTTGCCGACGGTCCACGGGTCCCAATCCTGCCCTCCTTTATCCACCACCGCCCGATAAAGACCAATAAACGCGACGCGGCTGAATTGCTAGCGCGAGTCGAGCCCCCTCCTCGTGCCACCAACTTCCGGAACTCTCAAGTCCTCGTAACTACCGATATTTATACCGAACTGCTTTCGATGGAGACAGAGACGGACTCGCGAACTATCGCGATAAGGAATCTCCCTCTTTCTCTGTCTCTCTCTCTCTCTCTCTCTCTCTCTCTCTCTCTCTTTGATAATTATCAATTAGCAACGTAAGGACGGTATTTGATCTAGTATACTCGCCACGGGCTAGCAGCTTTTCTTTTTCGCAAGGGAACGGCGTCATTCGCTGCTTTCGTCCTGGACGCCGACCAGATGGCGACTTTTTTACGTGACCTACGCGTGACACGGTTTTCAATTTATACATTCGGTCGTGTTCGTTTTGGTACGATTCGAAATAGGGTGGCCTATGAAATTGCTCGTGCAGATGTGTAGTGGAAGTTTGTTTCAGGGAATTCGAGTTTGGAAAAATTTATAAAATTATATTCAACGCTGAATCTAGCGACTTTTACTCCCTAAAAGTAATTAACGCGCGTTGCTTTATATCGATGAAAAGACTGTATTTATTCAGACCGTTCACCATTTTTATTACAACGAATGCTTGGATTAAGAAATTTGTTCGATCATTTTCCATGGAAGAGTCTTCGTAATCGCAGCAACTTCAAAGCCAAAAAACTTGAAACCGGTCATTTTGATCGGCAGTTTAACACAGAAAAGTCACGATTCTTCTTATACGACTTCTAGTATCGTTTTTTCACTGTAGTGAAGTAATATATTTATAACGTATTGAAGTGAAGAACTTATGCGAATTATTTTTACGTGAGTTTGAATGATTGAGAAGAACGCCATCCATCTTCGAAAAGTGTCGAATTGTGATTGAAGTAAGGTGCTCAAACAATTTTGTTGACTGAAAGCTTTATTTGAAATAAGTCTGGCAATATTATAGAAGCATCTTATTAAATATCGTCGAAGTTAAATTAAGCAACGTTTACGTCTATGTACGCACAATTTCGTAGGCCACTGTGTGTTCGTTAACAGTTGAGTAATCGATGCAATTGGATTTGAACACATGCAATAAACTGGTTTGTGATTTCTGCTAGAGCGATGATATTATTTCTGAAAATTTAAATTAATTGTCACTCTCTAATCTACGAAGTGAACTAGAATTTATGCAGCATAGAGATGTAACAAGTCGAAGGACGAGAAAGTACGTAATTGTGGAAAGATCGAAGAAATATGATCTACCGTTCGAAACATCTTGTGTTACTAAAATTGTACAGTAATGTCTCTCTAATTGACGCTCAGATTGTCCACGAAAATGGACAACTTGAGAAAAGGAGCTACGATTATTCGAACCTTGCGGTTTGTTTTTATAGTTACGAATTGTCAACAACTATAAAAACGAGCTGCAGGGCTCGAATAATCGTATCTCCTCTTCCCAAATTGTGTATTTTTGTGCAAAATCTGAGCGTCATTTAGGGAGACATTACTGTATTTAGAAGAAGAACAAGCCAGTAAGAGATCGCAAACAACGAAACTGTAAAACGAGAAACCCGTTCTTTCGTTTGATCGTTCAACGATCGAAGATCGATGCCGCGGATCGATCGCTAAACTGTTAACGGACAGTATTTCATCCCCTTCCGCGTAAAATTACGCCAGTATACGATTAGTCGGAGCAAATTCCGATCGGTACCGGATGAAACGCGACAGCAGCGGAGCAATTAATTCCTCCCAATCACGGACTCGATCATAATACGTTTATTTACTTCGACGACCGATGCACTGCGCGGATGACGTTGCGCTGTATGGCGAAGTGCCCTCTCTGTATCGATTAATGCTTTGCGTAACAGACGGACCCCGCTAGGAAGTTGAATGCTCGAGAAAGTCTTTGTCGGCGACTGATAATCAGGATCTTTCAACGGGAACAATTTCTCGCGAACTCCACGCTGCACGAAGTTGGTCGCCTCGAACTTCGCCGTTTCATCTTCTTGGGATTTTCTATGTCCTACAAGTCTTCTACTAATTATACGTTCGGTGAAGTTGTTCTATTTTGCGTTAACATTATACCTGTCCAGCAATAAGTATGACTGAAACGTCTTAACTTGACAGGTTTGAATTCGTTTAGATTTTTCGTGATTTTTATTACGATATTTACTTGATTAAAGAAACGCGTTTAGTCACATTTCCAATTATGAATATCTTTATAATTTCACTAATTATAAAATCAGCACTTCGAAACGGTTGTTTGGCTTGCGGTGATAAACTTGGCGTTAAGCGTTTGCACTCGAATGCCGTCGATGCGATAAATAAAAACACAAAATCTTATATTTATTATTTTTTAGAATATCTCGCAGCAGTATAATGATTTTTATTTCAATTCTTTATTTATTTCAATAATTTTTACGAAATTTGCTCCGAGTTGCTGGTGGGTATATTAAACAAATCTTCCGAGTGTTAAAGGGTTGAAATATCCGATCGATACGTGTTCATGATAATTAGATTGTTGATCTTTATGCAAAATAAAAATCTGCACTAATCGTAAGAAATATGAATTCGATAGAAATGCATCCTTTTTCTCGGTAATTTTGATAAGTTCAGACCACAGTTCTAAATGTTTTTCTGTTTCCTATTTGAGAGTGACCCATATAAAAGAAACTTCCGTATTTTGACGTTTCCATTCAATTTAAAATTTTTAGAACGAATTGTGCAATCGAGTTCTCTCGTCCAACTCAATATCTTCTGGTACCGGCGCAACTATGCATCCCTGGAAGAATTCCTCTGAAAATAAACTATCGAACTGTGGATACGTATTGACAGATCGCGAAAGAGCTCTTTTACACTGTCTCAGAGTGCAAGCCTCGAATAAATAGAATAAAGAGTGTACCCCGACCGCTTCTAAAACATTTTTCATATTTCCGTATAATCTGGACGATGATCGTGCATTAAACCACGCAAATCATTACATTACCATTTTACGAATTAAATTGTTTCAACGATCGCAAATACGATTGCGATCGTAACCTCGCGTTGCGCAATGAGAAAAGCTCCATCACAATGAAGTGTTCCCAGTATCCAATCAATAAAATCCTTTGAAGATTACAGTTTATACGATAATGATTTAATGGAAAATGAAATTGAATTGTTAACAAACGGACGTAGTTACATATTCCTCGCGTAACGGAAAACAAGCATCGGAAACCTTGCAACAACACCGTATCGATTTTTGAAGTAATTTGCATCGCCGTTAATTTCCGGACGATTTATTTCAAAACTTAACGGCGGTATCAGCCGCCTGAAATAATATCGGAAATGGGAGCAGCGTTTTCATTATTCCCGCCCGTTTGAACCTTAAAAAGATCGCTGATGAAGAAACCCGTCCATCGACAGGGCGAACGAAAATTGTTCTTCTCGCGGTGAATTTCGAATGTCGAAGATAGAAATTATAAACGTGAAAACGAAAAGTCAGAGGAAAAAACAGATGGAGATGGAAGTGCTGGGATCGGAAGTGCTTTTAAAAAACGCAAGCGATAACCTTGAACGCGTCGCTTATCCTTAAACAAACTAACCGCTCGGACAACGAAACGATAAAAGCATCTCGAAGTCGAAAACGCAAATATATTCACATCGCTTTCTGCTCGCCGGATTCGTTCCTTAACACTTGGACGGCGGAGCATTGGTCGATTTTCACCCGAAGAATAAATATTGTTATCTAATAAATATAATAATAATAATATATAATATTGTTATAGTTCCGTTGAAAATTGATATAAATTTTCGCACATTTCATTAAGGTCCACGGAACAACTAACGCGCCTACAAAGAACACTTTGACAAACATATCGGAAGGAATTGATCAATAAATTTATAAATGATTCTAAATGTATTCGATGATATTTTTGTCAATTAAGTCCGCCGTTCGATGGTTAATATACGATGATTGATTAGCAACGGAACAGCACCGAGTACCAAAGGATCAAAAGTCACAACTACAACCGAGTCGACAATGAATCTTGATCGCAGGCTGTTTCACTTTTTTCTACTCGATTGATTTTATGCCAACCTTTCCACGGCCATCTACCACAAAGGGATGCAAAATAAATTGGAAATAATGCCTCTGGAAGAAGCCCCCTGGAAATTGTTCGGAATGCAATCCGCATAAATTGAATGTATTAAATTTAATGGTCGTTTAATAGACGGGGAATCTCGGCGAAACAATTGACTCTTTTGACATTCGAAGCGAACGCAGGGAACGAGAATCTGTATAATCGGTTTCTACTTCTGTGCGCCAGTGACACAGTAACGATCCGGACGGGCCATGAATTTTATTCCAAGCCTTCGCGCAACTGCTGCATCACAAAACTTCGGTACGTTACTATCGTATTCAGCCGCGTTCGAATAAAACTCTCGAACTACCACGATACGAGACAAATTTACCGAATAAAATTATTCGAAAGGATGTACTATGCGATCACGTTCGCGCGGTGTGCAGTGCTTATCATAAATACATCGAGTTTTACGATTGTCACACTTTGTTCACCGTAAGCTTGTTAATCAGCTTTCCAACGACTGAACCGTGTTTAAGAAAAGATCGACGATTTTCTTTTAAACAATATTTATATCATCAGAGTATTCTAGTTTTTTAACCATTTTTTTAAAGGAATTCTTAACTGTTGGTCTTCTATCATAAAAGAATAATTAGAAAACTGCCGATAGATGTAGCGTTAATAACTTCATTATTTGTGGATGGGCTCGAAAGTGTACGGCCATTCTTTTTTATTTTGCAATGTAAGTTAATATTATCGTACGATGTTTATTATTAAATTCTATTCTCTCTGAGAATGCGTATTACGAAATTTTCTTCTGAATTGAAAATAATCTATATCCTCTAACATTCCGACGCGTAATGATAGTTTTCACGATTTTGTATAAAAAGTAGAAAACGGTATATAATCTAAGATGTAACTTTTCGTTATCTTCAACGCAATATTTCCTTTCGTTACGGCTAGAGCATGCGATCACTGCTTCGGTGGGGAATACAATGCGAAAATTAAGCCACTGAAACATCGAGACATCGATGATTCGATGTAATTATGCTATGCGCTGCACATTCGAGCTCGCAGTTCCACCGGCAGACAAAGCGATTAATAATGGTTCCGGCGAAGAAAAAAATAAAGCACGCGGCAGCAGGAATAATGAATGAAAACCCGGGAGACGGTTTAATCCGAGACTCGATGGCGGACAAGTCTGCCGGCCGAAAGTCGAAGTAATATCTACTAGCGAGCAAAACGTGATTAAAAAAGTTTCGCCGGCGCGGCGCGGCGCGGTAATGCTATGACCCGATTACACGTAAGAACACTTCTCCGTCGGGCCCGCGTGAATAATCGCGTCTCCATGGCGGGTCCGAAAACCGCGAGAAATAATGATCACTTCTTCCGGCTTGCTTTTCGGTGTGCTCGCCCCCTCGGCGTTCCCGCGATGGTGTTCGCGCGATTGCAGTAGATTTTTCCCGCCCCCGAGAATCGGGCTGCTCAGTTGCGAAAGGCGGAGGAGGGAAGCGAAAGAAGCAGCGAGGAGGGAAAAAAGGGTGCCGGGGAGGGAAACAAACGAAAGCGGGAAAAGAAGAGAAAAAAGAAACAAGGGCGAAAGAAAACGGCGACCGGCGCAACAACGCTGGCGTTCGCCAGCCATTCCCGCCGCCATTTATCAAGCTAAACGCGAGGTGCACCGCATAATGTTCGCGCCGAGTTTCTGCAGCCTCGGCCCTACATCGGAGGCGCCTACGTTGCATACTGGCGCCCGGTTGGATCGCCACAGAAATTCACGTGTACACGCAGACACGGGACGGCGACGCCGCTTCCACGGAGATGCGTTCGGATTACGGCCGATCAAACACTGCCCGCCCGATGAGGATTGCTCCTCTGACAGTCGCGTTGTCCCTTCGAGATTGCTTGTCCGATGTCGCATTAGAACCGGCCATTACTGTTTACGTCCCGTTCAATCGGATCGGACCTCGACTTCGAATTAATATTGATCGGCCGATCGGGACAGTTCTAACAGTCGCTTAACATTTTTACGCGTACCATCGAATTATTCATGGCGAACTCCGTCTTTCGAGCAGCTTCTGTTTCTACATGTTTTTCTCGCGTATTTTATTTCATGTTTCGATTTCATTCTGCGATATATGTCCAAATTGTTCCAGGAGAACTACAATATAACCTTAACATTTTTACGCATACTATCGAATTATTCACGGTGAACTCCTTTTTTCGAGCAGCTACTGTTTCTACATGTCTTTCTCGCGTATTTTATTTCATGTTTCGATGCGTTATCTTTCC